CAGGTCCAAAGCTGTGGCCGAGGTAAGGTGTACTGGTAGGCTCAGGGCTCTTCTCCAGTGTCTTTGGTTTGCGTTGGAAAGCATTTTCTACTCATGGGTTCTTGTGGATAAGGTTAGACAAAACCTTGGCCTGATGCAGAGGTCTTCTCATAGGTGTGTATTCATGGGTGCAGCACCAAACTATGGGAAATGCCAGGAGGCATTGGTCTCCTTTTCCCCAGAGGATTTTGACAGCAATGTGACTGGTTTGGAGAACCTGTCTGTCCAGGTATTGCTTTCGATGCATTCAGTGGTCTGGATGGTTCTTCTGTCTCACCTATCAATATCTCAGCACTTTGAGGAGTGCAGGAGGTGGTATGATTGCTATCCCACACAGACTGCTTGTTCTCACAGCCTCTCTGCTGGGAAGAGTGCATATCTTACAGCGCTTCGCTTTGTACTTTAATACTCATGTTGGCTAAACAGGGTAGGGCAAGGGAAGGGCAGGGGCAGAGAGGTTTGAGGTTATGTGGTTGCTCCTGAGTGGTTCTTCTCACAGCTCCAGAGGGACCTAGGAAAGTCCCAGCGCCTCCGCAGAGATGCTCTGCCCTTGCTGTGGGACCTCCTCTGTCCCAGGGAGCTCAGCTGTGGCTCTCCGGGCTCACTTACCTGTCCTGCCTGACATCTGCTCTCCTCAACCTTGAGGAAATACTTACTCTGTCTTTCTCCCTCTCCGTCCGTAGGAGGCGGACAGGAACAGCCTGAGCAGTGGCAGAGGCTGTGACCGTGCAGGGAGGTTGCTGGGGGATAGCTAAGCAGTTTGGAAAGCTCAGTGTGGTAGGAAGTTAGCTGCTCCCTGGTATGGTCCATGCTCCATCCACTGCTTGTCTGGGACACAAAGGAATGGCTTTCCAGAGCCGCTCTGGGGTTTTTCCTCACCTTGTTGTTGTGTTTCTTGTGCAGGGCTTGCTTCTGGCTTCACGATTTTTCTCCATACATCCTGGAGCAAAGGGTGAGGGACACACAGGGGCAAGAGGGTGTTTTTAAATACACACGGTGTGCCAGGACCATGTGGGAGCTGCTGTATCCATACCCAGAGAGGATAAAAGTGGAAAGGTGAGCACTTCATTATATGGCTGTGGAAGGCAGCAACCCGGCTCTTTTCAGCACAAGACAGCATTTCTGTTGGAGCAACAAGACCAGCCGCTGAGTTTCTCCTCCCTGCAAAGAAGTTTGCAGCTCAACCACCTAGGCCTGTTCTGCAGAGGAAGCTTCAAGGTTGTGGGTTTAAAACAAGGTCATACTGTCATGGCAATGTGAGTGAGAAATGCTCCTACAGCAGATGGCTGCTGTGTGGGTACGCTCAAGGGGTGCTGGGTAGGGGCAGATGGAGAGAGGAGAGGATTTTAGGAAGCTCCTAATGAAGGAAGGGGTAGCTTAACGGGGGTTTCTTCATCCTTCCTCTTACCCCAGTGAAGCCCTTCCCTGCTGAGCAGCTTTCCCACAGCCACAAAGCTTCTGCCCTGCTGTTTCCCCTGGCCTCCTTGGGAGGAGAAGCTAGAGACAAGCCATTTTCCCAGCTCTCTTTGAGGGCATTTTCTATTTGGTAGAGCAGAAGGGACAGTCCCTCAGCCCCAAAGAAGAGCCCCTTTGAGCTGCTTCTAGAGGACCAGATCTCTCTGTGGCAGTAGATATGGGACTGATTGAAGAAGTCCATTTGCTTCTTGGGGTTAGCCATAGAAAACTTGACGATGCATTACCATGCTATTTAACTCCAAATGGATAGGATTTGTGACACCTAAGGCAGGGCCCATAGGAGAGTCTCAGAAGCAGAGCAAGTTCCCAGGCTCCCAAGTCTGTGGTGCTCTCACCAGGGCTGAGATTTATAAATGAAGCATCCCATCAGAGCAGAATGGCTTCAGCTTCTTCTGTAGTTCATGAGGATGTGAAAGCCCCGAAGGTTAGGTTCTCAACACATTACTTCTCATGAGATGAACTCTGAGCATGTCCCTGTTAAGACAGGAATGTATACAGTGGAAGCTGTGAGATAATGGCACATATGGAGGTAAAGTCTTTGCTGTTGTGCTGTTGGTGGGTTTTCTTTCACTTCCCTCCCTAGAGGAACACTTCACTAGTGAGCTATAAGCACTTGCAGTGAGGTTCAGAGCAGTTTGCAAATGTTTTGCCCTGGCATTGCTTTCACATGGGGTTTTACAAGGTGCTTGTTTGTGAGTGTGGAGGATTAGGGGACCAGGAGCCCCTCCACAGCTCCTCTTTGCCACTGTGAGCCCTCAATAAAGAGGTTAACTGGAAGTCTGGCTCATTTTTAAGCAGCATACCTGAATCCCCAGGGCATTTTGGCCTGGTTGCTGTGGGGACTGTGTGGGTGAGAAAGAAGTTGCTCAAGTGCACTGAGGGTGGGAAGAGGAGTAAGGGAAAAGGCAGGAATGTTCAGAAGCCCAGAGGGTTGTGTGTATCTGGGAGAAGATAGTATGGCAGCGCCATGAGTTCTCTCATGTACTTGTAAGCCTCCGTACCTTCTTTGTGGGAAAGGATTTGGTCCTGTTTTCTGGAAATAAGTAGGAGTTTTCCACTTGGATTCCATGAGAGCTGGTCTGGGAGCACAGTTTATGTAAAGGTTTGGACCCATTTCACCTTATCCTATCACTGCAGTCCCTGATGAAGAGGATCATCCCATCACAGGCTTGTATAAAGCTGCTGGTGCTTGCTGCAGATGTGAAAATAGCATCTGTAGGGGCCCTGCTGCTGTGTGTAGAGCATGTGTGATGGTGCAGCTTCAAAGACTGAACCCAGGACACAATGACAGTGCTATCTACTTTGCATTAGCCAGCTGGCTGGGGGAGCTTCTCTGTGTCCCCTTTTTCTCAGGAAGAAGATGCTAGTAGCTGGCAATCTGGTTTTGGGAGAGGCGCCTATGTTCAAGAGCAAAATATGGTTGCTCTTGTATAGCCCTGGTTTTGGTAAAACCGCGTGGGTTTGAAGTAAATACGTAATTCCTTTGTCAAACACCATTAATACCTGAAACTGGCGCATATGAAGTGGTATGAGTAATGTTCTGCTTTTCTGAAGAAGTGTTTCTTTCCCTGGAAACTAGGGACTCGCAACAGATTCCCGCAGCATTCGCTGCGTAAGCGGCAGGGAGATAACAGAGAAGGTCACCATTGGCCGCAAAGGAAGGCAATGAAAAATGAGTGTCCTGAACTAAAACTGTTCCCGGACGTCACTGGCCATGGATTGCACTCACACTGTTCTATTTATAAAAGCCCTCTGGCCAGCAGCGATGTGACCCTTCCCTCTGCACCCTGCACAAGAGAAACCCTGAACTGATTAGAAACAGGAAACAATAGAACTCACCAACCGCAAAGTAAGCAAGCAGGGATGGTGAGAAATGCCTATCTCCCACTGACCTCTTTCCAGCACAGTAATCACAGCCGATCACTGCAGTCACTGGGGATTTACAGCTTTTAGGGGGAAAAGTACGTTTTTGAGTTGGTGCTATCAAACCATAGTGAATATTTTTACTACAGCCTCTCCCAGCAGAACAATAAGGTGGCCTCAAGTGCCATGAGATATGTTACTGACACCATCTAGAAGTAAAAGAAAACTTCAGGCCTGATCTTGGGCAAGAAGCTGCTCTTCTTGCCTGCCCCATTGGTGTGCAGAGCACAGCTCTGGGTGACGGATGTTCCTCTGGTGAGGGCGGCCATAGGTGCTTTATCTAAACTCAGCAGTTATGTGTGATAATGAACTGGGAAGGTCTTTAATGTCTCTTCCAGGATTTGTGGTTTGCTTTGCCTGCTTGTTTTCTCTGCCCATGAGTATTCTGTGTGCTTGGCTGCAGGGATTTGTGCAGGCTGGCCACAGCTCCCACCCTCATCTGGATCTTTGTGCTGGGATGATCCTCTTCATCAGGATTGTAGTGATAGGACAAGGGGTAACTGGTTAAAACTGAAACAGGGGAAGTTCAGATTAGATCTAAGGCAGAAATTGTTCACTGTGAGGGTGCTGAGGCACTGGCACAGGGTGCCCAGAGAAGCTGTGGCTGCCCCATCCCTGGCAGTGTTCAAGGCCAGGTTGGACACGGGGGCTTGGAGCAACCTGGTCTAGTGGAAGGTGTCCCTGCCCATGGCAGGGGGTTGGAACTGGATGAGCTTTAAAGTCCCTTCTATCCCCAAGCAGTTTGTGATGCTATAACTCTATGATAGGGTTGTATTTTCTGCATTGGTGTTCACTGCAAAGGTTACCTTCAGTAAAGGAGGAAGTTTTCAGGCCGAGGGTGGAAACTGAGGTTGTGGTAAGATCTGTACAGCTCTGTGTCTTTACCAGCCTTCTGACCATGAAGCTGAAGAAACCTGCCTTGCCTCCACAGAGCCATGCATAGGCCACTTGTTTCTCCTACCACCCTTACACCACTGCTCCTAATGGCTTTTCAGGAGGGCTGGATAAAAGGGAGAGCTTCAGAGAAAAAGACGCTAAACCCAGAGGTGATGGATTTCACTCCTTCAGCATGCCATCGAATAGATCCCGCTGTATAATGAACCCCTCTGAACTGCAGGTCCGTTAATTTGTATGTGTGGTGTTTGTTTAAGTTCTCCATGCTCTTTCATTTGAAATGTGAGGAGCTTTTAAGTGCCTTTGAGATGGAGAACTCAGAACAAATGTTGCCCCGCAGATTTGTCACAGTCTCCTTGGTCGAATTTGCAGGGAATTTTACCTTCTGCCCTTTAGATTATCTCCGCCATTCCCTTGTAAGTACAAGCTAAAGCATCGACCCAGGCTCATAAACCCAACTCCTGATTTCTTTTCTCTTTTGGAGCAACCTATTCTAGTGGAAGGTGTCCCTGCCCGTGGCAGGGGGTTGGAACTGGATGAGCTTTAAGGTCCTTTCCAACCCAAACCAGTCTGGGATTCAGAAATAAACCATTTCTGAGAGAAGAAAACAAAAGCAGATCCTCAAGAACTGTTTATTCAGAGTAGACAGGACAAGGCTGGGAGAAATATCAGTTGTTATCTTCCAAAAGTTGATTTAGAACTTTCAGTTCTGGAGACAAAAGAAATAATCCCTAAATATAACTATGTGTTACATACATATATACACGCAGCTCACTGGTTTAACCATCATGTCAGGATGTCTGGGTTTGGGAAGAGCAAGGCCAGAGTAAGCAATCCAGAGAGCATTTCTAAACAGCCCTAATGGTCCATAGTATCTCCCTTTCTCTATTTCTAATCACAGCAGTGTTCTTACAGGAATCAGAACCAGCATCTCCTTCACCTGCACTGAGATAATAGTAAAATTAAAAAGGAGAAGACATGGGCAATTTCCACCTTCATCCAACACAGTGATCTCAGTGGCTTATGTGAGACCTGAGAGCTAAGCTTGATGCCAGAGAGTCTCATTGCTTGTTGTCTTTTATTATTGTATCATTATTAATAGGAAGTTTATTTTAAGGATGTAAGCAAGCTGTATAATCGATATACACTAAAGAGCACAAGAGGATTCTATACAATAATTTAGATGTATTAAATAAATAAAACAATAATAGCAGCCTTCTACAATGCAGGCTACACATAGGTTTACTTCGGCTTGAAGTACCCTGGTCTTTAGTACACCTACAGGAACAGACTTGCTCCACAAGTGTTTTAAAGAAACATATCTATAAGATACATACGTAAGAGTGTCTAAGGTTAGGATGAACGTTTTAAAACTCACTTTACCATGGTCTCCACATATCTAATGACCCCATTCTAGGGTTGTTATGGGAAAAATTGGGCTGCAGGACCTGTCTGGGAGGTGCAGCATCAGCCTGGCTGAAAGCAGACAGCAGTGGCAGCTGGAAGGAGTTTTTGGAAGCCTGCTTGTTCTCCACAGCATAGAAATGCTCCTGTGATGGGTTTGTGCCCCGTGTGCTCCCCTTAGGGCTCGGGGGGCCTTTTGGTGTCAAGAGAGGGTGCTGGGTTGGGCTCAAAGACCTTAATGCTGCTTTGCAGGCATCTTCACCCGACCTGGGCAAGGATTTGAGCAGATGGTTCAAGAGGCGCGCCCCGAGGGTCTTGTCCATCCACTCACAGGTGAGGAGGAGGTTGTGCACCTCGTGCATGCACTGGATGTACCCGGTGCTGTACCGCTGCTGGGCTTCCAGACCCACTTTGGAGTCAGCTGCATTGGAGAGGGGACAAAGGGGAGTTGGTGAGCAGGTAAAAGCTGCCCAGTGTGTTCCTGCTTAGAGGCATACACCAGGTCCTTTTTAGGAGGGCTTGTTGTGGAAGGATGAGGGGTGATGGTTTTAAACTAAAAAAGGGGGGATTCAGGATGGGTATGAGAGGGGAATTTGTTGCAATGAGGATGGTAAAACACTGGCACAGGTTGCCCAGAGAGGATGCACTGTCCCTGGAGACATGCAAGGCCAGGATGGATGTGGCAACCTGATCTAGTTGAAGGTGTCCCTGCTTATTGCAGGGGATTGGACTGGATGAGCTTCGAAGGTCCCTTCAAACCCAAACTATTCCAATGCTATGGTTGTATGTTTTGCATACGCACAGATGGGCTCCCTGAGGCTCATTGCAGAAGCTGACTGGGCTTTACTCTAAGTTGAATCGTTTGCAAGGCTTTGGTGGGCACCAGGCATCCAGCCAGGGTCAACCCACCACAAAGGGGAAGGTAATGCAGAGCAAAACCAGACTGAAAAGCAGAAATCGGCTCTGGAAGGAGAAAACCCACCTTCCGTGGGTTAACCAGTGCCCAGCTCCATCTCCCCATCTAGTGGAGAAACTCAACCCGAGCAGCCGGGCGGGCCTCATCGGGTTTGAAAGATGCTTTTGACTGTGCTCGCAGGGTGGGGAACCAGGCACTCACCCATCAGCTTGCTGCTCTGGATGTTCTGGAGGTGCTTCACAGTCATTTCGAGGATGTCTGCTTTTTCCAGTTTAGACTGCTGATAGGGAAAGAGTGCAGCAGTTAGAACAGTTTGTACCACATCCAGAAGAGACACCCTTGTCGTGCCCCACCCCCCACCCGAAAAACAACCCCCCACCAGCAAAAAGATAAAAACCAGCATAAAAAGAAGCACTTACATCCAAGTGAAATGCACCCACAACTGTCTCCTTCAGCTGGTCCAAGCAGTTATTAATCCTTTCCCTTCGTTTCCGCTCAATGAGGGGTTTCCGTAACTGGCAAGGAAAAGAAAAGGAGAGAGGAAGAAATGCAGTTGATGTTTGTTCTTCCTATCTCTGCTGCAGTTCAGTGAGGTCGGAAAGCCCCATCCCCTGCATGACGCCAGTGCAGGGTGGCACAATGCTCGGCAGGGGCAAGAGATGGATGGAGAGTGTGCATCTCTAACTCATGGCTCATGGCCTAACCCTTATATACTCTAAACTCCCTCACTTCCACTCATCTTAAGCAGAGTTTACCTAAATGAAACACAGAGGAGCCTTTCTAAGATGGAGAAAGGAAGCAAAACAAACACCCACATCGGTTAAAATCACAGAAAGCATCTTAAGATGACAAAGCAAGTCCCCTTTCTCTTTCTTAGAGGATGCCCATAGCCCCGCACTCATCACTCACATGCCCCACACCAGCAGCCAGGCATGGGGCTGCTGTTGCAGCAGTGTGAAGGGGACCTACCTTCCTCTCCTCCATGGTGCTGGCCAGCTTGTGGGTGCTGCCGGAGGTGGCCGTGGCGGTCATTGTAACCCAGGCACTGGGAAGGACGGGATGGGATGGGATGGGACGAAGGCAGTCAGGCAGTGGGTCTCTCGTTCCCGCGCTGGGCTCTTTGCTGCTCTGCTGCTCCTGTGCTGTATTTATAACCCAGAATTAGCATGTGAAAGGGGACTTGCCTTGGCGGGACTTCTTTTCCCACACGAGGGGTCGAGCCCGGAGGTTTGTGGCCATCAATCAAAGCTGACAGGTCACTGCTTCCTTACAATGACCAAGCCGCCCCCCCCAAACGGCGACAGATGTCCAGCCTCTGACGCCGGGCTTTGGAGGCGGCTTTTGTTAGGGAAGAAGGGAAGGAAAATGGGCGCGCTCTGAGCAGCTTGCACAGCCCCTTGCTCAATTTCCACACATTCCCAGGGAGGGAAACAATAGCCGGGAAGCGGTTGAGTTACACCTGGGAAAATGCCTTCTGCCCAGCTCTTCCCCCTCTGCCTCTTGAAGTGTTGCCTATTTGTACCTGCTAACCATTTCACATCTTTGAAGAAGACTCTTAATTTAATCATCAAGTACTGGAGCCCGGAGTTCCTGCTCCCAGGGATTATTATTACAAGGTAATGTTGATTGATTAAAACCTGTTGACAGCAGATACCCATAGGAATGTGGTTTTGATCACAGACATCCTCAAGGGAAAACACAAAGACTTTATCTTCCCTTTGGGAACTCGAATTCTCTGTTGCGCATGGATGGATGTAGGAAATGAGTAACTCTTCTAGTTTTTGGCTGGTGTGTAGAATTGAACACTAAACAGACAGGCCCTTACAGATGCAAACAAACCTAGAGGTGAGTTAGTTCTATGGAGTTTTTACTTCTGTTATGTTTTTCCCCTATGTGGCAAGGAGGCCTGTGTGGCATTGGGAGGAAAGGTGTTTTTCTGTTTGCTCCTCTGAAACACTAGCGCAGAAGCAGAGGGGCCGTTGGAGGACACTTGGCACGGGGTGAGAATGTGCTTTGATGCTTCCTCCCTTCTGTTTAGTTCAGGGGGGAGGTATGAAGGGATTTTTCATGACCGTACTTTTGCTTTCTGATGGTTGCTTTGCTAATGAGCAGGATTTGGCAGTGTCCTGTTGAGTCCCGCAGGTGAATACCTTTGGGTTGGTGTTGAATATGTCACCTTTTTGATACGGAGATGAAGCAGCCGCAGCGGTTCAGAAGCACCGCAAGCCAGTGGGATTTCCCAGCTCCCTCTCCCTCCTCCAGCCCAGGGTAGGGATGTGCCCCAGTGATACCAGCGAGGACATCACGTCCCTTGCTGAAACGCTGTGGGTGTGTGTGTGAATGCAAACATACCTGCACGCCCTGCTGCCGGGCTCAGCGTGGAAATGTGGCCCCAGACGTGGTATCTCGCAGTTGACTGGTTTTATAAGTGTCCTACTTGGCAAGGCCCTGAGATGGGCTGGTGCGGTTGTTGCACCGGGAGAGGAGGGTTTGGGAGGGGAAGGTTGATAACTTGTCCTTAGTGCCAGGTAAAGGGAGCAGGGATGGGCTCCTTATCTCAGGTGTGTCCCGTGCAGTGAAAGGAGATCCCACCACCCCTCATGCAGCCATTCCGGCTTGCTCACCAATGAAAACTTGTGTTGTACAAGGTTTTTCCAGCTCACGTGGGAAGTGGAGTGTTGCCAGTGTTTATACAAGGTGTATCTGCATTGCCACGCGATTCCCATGGCTCAGCATGGAAGAGGCAGCAGCTGCACTGGGGTAGGGGCACAAGGAGTGGCTGCATCCCTGGCTCTGGGCACTCTGCTAGGGTGCTGGAGGCTGGGAGTGCTGCCTATCACACAGCTTCTACCTGGGTTTGGCTTGGATGGTGGGTGAGGAAGAGAAGTGCCTCCACAAACACTCTTCCACCAGCACCTTGTGTAGATGTTAAAGGTTGTTTTCTTTCTTCAGGGTGTGAAATGTACACAAACAGCAAACAAACTTTCAAACAGGTCTCACCCCTTTCTCTTTTCCTAATTGGAAAGCCCAGGTAAAAAGAGAGGGTTTGCTGATGAAGGAGCATCCATTTTCAGTGAAACCTGGAAGTGTGCAATGCAAAAGGAAAGCAGGAATTTGAGAGGAAAAGTCTCTCTGGTCTCAGTGGTGGTGGTAGTATCTCCTCCCTTGCCCCCACATTCTTCCTTGGCCTGGACTTGCTGCTCCTGCCTTACTCTCCCTCCTGCTTTCCTTGCCCTGCAAAGGGGATGCCCTGCAAAGGGGATGCTCTGCAAAGGGGATGCTCTACAAAGGGGATGCTCTGCAAAGGGGATGCTCTACAAAGGGGATGCTCTTCAAGGGGGATGCTCTGCAAAGGTGATGCTCTATGAGAGGGATGCTCTGCAAAGGTGATGCTCTATGAGAGGGATGCTCTGCAAGGGCGATGCTCTGCAAAAGGGATGCTCCCATAGCAAAGTGGCTCCCATGAATCCAGCAGGCAGGGGGGTGATGGTGTCAAGGTGGTGGGTGCTGGGGACAGCCAGGTGTGACATAGGTCCGAGAAGACTGTGGTGGCCCCCTGTGCCCAGCCATGGTCCCTGCCCAGCCCATGCAGGGCAGCTGAGTCCCTATCTTTGGTGGGACAAGCCCCTTGGCTTGCCTGCTGGCATCTGCTCTGGGTGAGCTCATTTCAAGGCTCATTTGTAAGACAGCCCCGCAGTGAAAAAGAGGAGCAGCTTTTGCTGTAAACAGTTATTTTACACCTCTCAGTCATGCCAAAGGCCTTTATTTTGGAGGCTGGGGGGGGGGTGGGCGTGTGTATGTGTGTGTGTGTGTGTGCTGGCGGGAGCTGCCCTGGCTTTGGGGGAAGGCTGACATCTGTGCTGGGGATTGTAGGGACCCACCAGGCCAATGCAAATGAGCATTAAAAGGAGCTTTCTGCAAATTCCCGCTTTCCTTTTGCATTGCCCACTGCCAGGTTCCACTGAAAAGGGATTCTCCTTCGCCAACAAAGCCTCTTTTCTCTTTTTTTCCTGTGCTTTCCAAAAAAAAAGAAAAAAAAAGGTTTCCTTTTTTTTTTTTTTTGCTATTTGTCCACATTTCACACCCTGGAGAAAGAAAACAACTTTTAACATCTGTTCCTGCAACTTTTGAAGTGGGAAAAGAAAGGCTCTTGAAAAGGGGGAAAAGTGTGGCAGATGTTGGCAGGTTCCCTTCGACGCAGATGTCTTGCTCCGCAGAAAACCTCCTTTGGGGCTTGGCGGGCCTGGGCTCCTCTTTGACTCGGGACACGCGACTGCCGAGCGAGCGGAGGGACGTGGGAAAGTGCTGCCAAACAAAAGCCCTTATTCAAACAAACCTGAGAGCCGTGAACAATCTAATAACCGGCGCAGGAATGGGCAGTGCCCCCCGGGCCTGCCGGCGAGGGGACCGGGGCAGCCGGCGGCCACAGGAAGAGGGAATGTGTCCCCAAGGCTGCAAACAGCGGTGTCCCCTACTTGCCCCCGTGACCTGCTCCCTGTGGGGTGGTTTGGCCAAGCTCTGTCCTTTTGGAGGTCTCTGCTGGGCTGCAGACTCGGTGCACGGGAGGTGGCTGCCTCACGGCGGCAGCAGAGGAGGGGGAAGGCAGGTACCTGTGGGAGTGGGGGCTTTAATGAAGCTGTTAACTAAGAGGTTCTGCCCATAGTAAAAGAATCCCCAACCCTATCAATTAGGACCAGTTGAAAGATCCTCGTAAAGCTGGTTTTGAGGAAAGAGGATTTTTTTTTTTAATGGAAAATAAATATTTTGAGAGAAAGAAGTGTTTTCTGTGAACCTTTTGTTCACCCTCTCCCCTTCTCTCCAGGTGGTAAAACGAAATGATTTAAAATTAGAAAAGCTGGTAATGTTTCAGTATGTGCACTTCATAGGAAAATGGGATGCCTAGAGAAAAGGGAGCAGAGTCAAGAAAAGCCCCATTGAGGGCACTTAAACTGCAGCAGTTCCTCATTTCAGGATGTGGTACCCTATGTATTATTCCACCTCAGGCTGGTGAGCAGGGTCTGCAGAGGGACCACATGTCCTGCAGCCCAGCCAGGACATGGTAGTGCTGGAAATAAGCTGGGGCAGAGAAGCAGAGCGTGATTTATCTGTGCATGGGGTGTGGAGAAGAGCATTTGCAGTCACCATCCATGATGGGACACAGGACCAAAAGCGAGGGGAGCTGCGGCTGTGTAGGGGAAGGCTGCTCCAGATGCCCTTTGCGGTGGAAGGTTAAATCCTTGGGCCTGGGGTGATGCTCTCGGTACCAGGTCACTATTGTTGGCAATGGGGTTTGTGGCTGGGCAAGTGCTGTGTGGCATGTGGGAAAGAGGCAGAGGGGATCTGGGAGATGAGTCTTGATGTCTATGGTCGAGTGGTGGCCTGTCGGGGCAATGTCCTACGCATTCACCATAGCGTAGACAGGGATAGGACTGCAGCTGGAGGTTTGTCTGCTCTAGAGATGTTTACAGGTGGAGAGAGAGAACACATCTATGGCTTTGGACATGCAGCATTTTCATCATAGGGGAAGTCCAGCTCCGGAAGCTGCACCGGACATCTTCTGGAATGTCTCTTGATGAAGATCAGTGCAGCAAACCTCAGTAGCCCCAGCTCAGCTTCCCTGATACAAGGGAATGGTACCTGGGGTAGGAAATCAAGGTACTTTGGGAGTGGACTCCTGGGATAGGAAATAATTACAAGGCTGGCACCAGCTGAGTAACTCTCAGCTTCTCTTTCACACACCTCCATCCAGCCTTCCTGTTAAGGATCAGCTTTGCTCAAGCTATCTCCTGCCTGGTGAGTTAGCCATGCTCCCTGCCCCGGAGGAAGTGTTATCTGCTGCTTCACAGCTGTGCTGCTGCTTGCAACACAGCTCCTAGGCCCTATAGGAAGAAGAAAACCTGATAAGCCATGCAGGAGGTGACAGGATGATGAGGGTTAGCCCCTTGCCTGTGCCCAAGGGGTAGTGTAAGGGGGAAGAGCCAAGCTTGGTGGAGAGGGTTTAGGGGCCTTTGAGGGAGAACGCAAAGGGGGCTCTTGATCTTTCCTCACAGGGGTTGTTGTGCTCAGG